ATTTTCCACCAAGATATCAGGTCAGTCCATAAGGAAATCCTCCTGAAGTGTATCCTGCAATAAAAGCGAAATTATCATCTGTATTGGTGTCGAGAACCTTGTTTTTTTCTTTTGTTAATTTTCTTTGTTCTATTCTCTGCTTAATCGATTCAATGATTTGACTCTCTAAATTCTCCGGGATAATTACTCCAAGCGTTTTCAACTCATTAATCGCACAGATTTTATCTACACCAAACCATTTCGCATACCCTGAGATTAGATTTTGTCCGTCATACTTTGTAATCCAGTCTTTTGCAGAGTCTAAGCGCCCTCTTTGGGTCAAGGTTTTTCGTCTTGGTGTGTGTTTTTTACTCACGATATGAAATTTTTTGTCCAGTCTTGCTGTGTCCTTTTATATTGCAATATTACGCAAAAACAGTGAAACCAGCAAGTGAAACATCGAGAATGTACTTTATGTCAGGTTATGGGTTAGGAAAAGGGTTAAACTCGTAGGATGCAAGTGCCTATCGTGCCGGACTCATGAATGGTTTCGACCATGGTGCACCCATGGTACACGAATTTGGAGGCATGCTGCTTTGTGAGCTGGCATTCAGGCGGCATTTTCGTAAAGCCGTTGATGGGTGATTATTTATTGGACTGACTTTCAATGATACGCCGAACTTCTTGTTCCGATTTTTTCACAATTTTTGCTATTTGGGAAAAAGAAAAACCTTCTTTATTCATTTCGAGGATTATTTCTATCTCTTTATTTTCTTCACCTTTTTTTATCAAGTCTTGTGCGTCGGTCATTTCAGTTTCTCGATAACTTGCAAGCCTTCTCATTCGTTGCAAATACGCTTCATATTCTGCTCTTTCCTCGGGTGTTAATTTCAATCTGTCCAATTTTTCTTTGGCTTCTGCAAGTCCCGGGGCGGTAAATTTATCTTGAACTTCACCTGTTTTCAAAAAGTAAATCCATTCATCCAATTCGTCATTTACCTTTTCTTCGTCAAATATGCCAGCCTTGATTATCCAATATTCCGGGTATATTTCAAACACTTCATTCTTATCATACAAGTCTTTCTGCTTCTGGGAAAGCATCAAAATATCGCCTTTGTGTATGCCTTTGAATGTGTTGGTTCCATGATAAACATAGTCCTGCCCCTGCCCAAGGTCAAAGTAGGCTACCGTAATAGATATCACCTTCTTAATGGTAGCATATTTATTGCTCTCTTTAATATATTCTGTGATGACTTTTGATGTTCCATAGAGGATACGATGGAAGTAATCATATTCTTTTGTATTCTGGACTTCGATAATGATGAGTTCACCTTTGGCATTTTCCACCAAGATGTCAACATCATTGTACTTATCATCATCAGTTTCCTGATTACTTTGGCTGCCGAGTATTGTATGTATTTTGACCACCTCATTCAAAAGCACAGATAGAAAGCCTTCCAAGACATCAAAATTTGCCTTGTTTCGAAGGATGCGTTTCATTGCCCAGTCAAATCGAATTAGTTTAGTTATCATTTTCTCAAAAATTTACCACAAAGATACAAAATACTCATGAATTTGTTGTACGTTTTGATGTTTTTGATTGCTGCTACGACTTCGTGGACGCTTTCTTATTGTCGGTAGGAAAAGCTTGGACATTATTGTCAAGTTCAGCATTTTCTAATTCCTCATGGGTCAGTCCATAAGGAAATCCTCCTGAAGTGTATCCTGCAATAAAAGCGAAATTATCAACAGATTTTATCTACACCAAACCATTTCGCATACCCTGAGATTAGATTTTGTCCGTCATACTTTGTAATCCAGTCTTTTGCAGAGTCTAAGCGCCCTCTTTGGGTCAAGGTTTTTCGTCTTGGTGTGTGTTTTTTACTCACGATATGAATTTTTTTGTCCAGTCTTGCTGTGTCCTTTTATATTGCAATATTACGTCGCTAGCGCAAGTCTATCCCCAAGCCCGTGGCGCAGCCACAACAAAACGCTAGCGCGTGGCTGCAAAGCCTCGTGCAACTATGGCGTCGGCTGCGCCGACATACGCGGAGCACAAAAGCCAAGCTTTTCCCGACCGTCCAAAAGACAGCTGGTGCCTTTGCCCCAAGCTACCTTTCAAGTCACAAATGTAACTACTTTATCTTGTTTTTATGCCGAAGCGATTTTTCTAGCGTTTTTTCTAGCGATTTTTATGGATTATGTATTTCACTTTGGCAGATATTTATGAGAAGAAACTTGTTATATAATATAGAATTTTGAATACATGAATACAGAATGTAGAAGGCACAACATTCGTAAATCGTAAATCGAAACAATCGTACCTCGTAAAGCATGAGGGATAGTAACGGAAATAGCACTTTTTGTGCCTTTTTGTAAAAAATACGAACGAAAACCAAGCGGTTGCAGTACAACAACACTACCCACTTCGCCTCGGAGCGAAGACAAAAAAGGCACAAAAAGGGCTATTGCAGTGGATAGCCCGACCCTCGGCAAACTGCCCTTCCGAAACCCCAAGCCTAGTATGATGCCTAAGGGCAGTTTGTCGAGGGGCATGCCCAAATTATATTCGTTTCTTAGGGAACTATTTGTACAGCCGTTCATGTTGTAGGGGGGAACCTAATTATTCACCCTAAAAAAAGGAGGTAAAGTGCCATCGTTACATTTAGTAAAAACCAAAGTCGTACCCTAAGGAAAAATGGTATTCACCAAGAGAATATCAATAATTTGCCCTATGAGGTACCCCAATTTCTTGGTAAATATATCAACAATTGCAATGGACATAAGTCTCAAAAAGAAGCTCTTCGATTCGCCAATTGGATTGGGCAAGGTAATAGTCCTGTAGATTTTCCTGGAATTCCTACCTATTTTACGCGTAAAATGGGTAATTACCTATTCGAGTACAAAGGAACAAATTACAAGGAAGGCTTTCTATATGCTCGCGTGCGTGGCTTGGGAGGTAGTGTTGTGCTTGCTGAATGCTTGTGCACCAACGAAATGTTGGACTGGGGAGAAAAATGGGAGACCTTGATCCAAGAAGTGTTGCTGTTTATCATTCGTTTTGAAGACAAGCTGCAGGAAGAAGAAATTCAAAGGCTCATTGGTTTTGTACGCTACCAAAGGGTGGAATACTACATGCAACCTGTGAATGTAAACTTCTACCGAATGTATTGGACTGACTTTCAAGCTGCTTTCCTAGAACGTACAGGATTGTGGGTAGATATGGATGAAGGGTTGCCTATTTACCCTTTGTACCCTGAGTTTAGCTTTGGCGGACGTACCCTAAAAAGTGTTTTCGCTTGTGTAGAGAAGTGGGAAACCTATTTCCAAGGCATACTTGACTCGGTCATTTTGGTACAACAACAATTTACACAAGATTACATTTACGATCAAAATTACTTGCAAACATTCCCAGAGATGGGCTTTACCAAAGGGATCTACGTTGTTTCAGGATATAGAGTAGTTCGCTTGATGACGCCCAAAGAATTGGTTGAGGAAGGCGAAATTCAATACAACTGTGTAGGTAGTTATAGTTCAGCTTGCTTTGCCGAGATATGCAGTATTTGGTCTGTGCAACGAAACGGAAGCCGTTGCGCTACCGTGCGTGTTACCAACAATAACATACTGGTAGAAGCTAAGGCTTATGGTAATAGTGCTATTGGTCATGAAATCGCTTTTATATTGCATGAATGGTCCAAAGTAGCCCATATCACCATTGGTCGTTTCTAAGGAATTGGTGTTTTTTTGTGCCACCCGTGGCAATCAGTTAGCTTTTGTTGGCTGGTTGTTGCGGGTGGTTGTTACGCATTGCAATAGAGAACCTTTATGATTCCACAATCATCAAAAAAATTCTAAAAAAAAGCACGATTTTCGCATTTGTTAGTATATTTACGGCAGAAAACTGAAACACACTATGCCAGAAAATAAGATAAATATTGACAATCTTGGAAAAATTTCGCACGATGGTTTATTCCAAATGTTTTTTAGTGTAAAAAATGTAGCTATTGATTTCTTGCGATCAGAGTTGCCACCACATTTATTACAACAAATTGACCTAGATTCTATGACAAAAGAGGATACCTCTTTTGTAAGTACTCGATTCACCAAATCTTTTTTGGATATTATGTATTCAGGCAGATTTGGACATGGCAATTCGTTTAGAATATGCTTTCTTTTTGAGCATAAAAGTCGGCAGTCTGGAAATATTTACTTACAAATACTTGATTACATGTTACAAATTTGGGAGGAACATATCAAGCAGGCGAAAGTTAACAAACAAGAAGTCGGCACACTACCTTTAATATTGCCAATCATTGTACATCATGGGAAAGGGAAATGGGTGATTAAGCCTTTTCATGCGCACTTCGGGAAAGTGCCCTCTGACTTTCTTCCGTACATCCCACACTTCGAATATTTACTCAAAGACCTGACTACCACGAGTAAAGAAGATTTATTATCTGTTCCGAATGATAATTTGTTGCGGAATTTGTTTTTTGCCCTTAAATTTGCATTCAATCCGGGAGCACTCAAGGATAACTTGCAACTTGTATTTGCTGGAGGCAGCATAAAACAAGAAGAAGATGGTTGTCTAGTGATGGGTTTTATCGCTCTTTTTAACTTTATCCTACAGCGTGGCGAATTCACTGAACAAGAGTTCTTGGAGTTGAAGGAAACCGTATTAAATAACAATAATGCTGATGTAATTATGAGTACTTACGATCAAATAGTAAAAAAATATAAAGCAGAAGGCGAAGCTATTGGCGTTGCTAAGGGCGAAGCTATTGGCGTTGCTAAGGGCGAAGTAAAAACAAAAAAAGAAATCCTAATTTCACTAATGCAAAAATTCCCGAATTTGACTGATGCAGAATTGGCTGATTTGGCAAAAGTGAATGAGTCCTTTGTGCTTGATCTACGCCAAGAAATGAAAGCGCAAAAGTAGTGCTTTTACCACCCTCATAAAGTCGTAGGTTTTGCTTGAGGAATGAGAAAAGAATAAATTTACATTTTTATCTGATTTACCTTGCCCCCACATAATCAGCAATCCCTTCCTCCAAGGTATAAAAAGGTGCTTTATAGCCAGCTTTTCGCAGCTTGGTCATATCGGCTTCGGTGAAATACTGGTACGCCTCGCGGATATCGGCGGGTGTGTCTATGAACTCAATATTTGGCTCAAGACCAAGGGCTAGGAAAGTATTTTTGGCTAAATCGAAGAACGTGCGCGCTTTGCCGGTACCCAGATTGTACAAGCCATTGGGCACCGAATTGGTCATGCACCAATGCAAAATCTTAGTAACATCCTTCACATATACAAAATCGCGGCTTTGCTCTCCGTCTTTGAAATCGGGGCGATGCGACCGAAAAAGGCGCATTTTGCTCGTTTCGGCGATCTGTTTCATGGTGTGAAATACCACCGAAGCCATGCGTCCCTTGTGCGCCTCACCTGGTCCGTACACATTGAAAAACTTGAATCCTGCCCAGCGCGGCGGTTGTTGCGGCTGTTTCAAAGCCCAGATATCGAAATCATTCTTGGAGGCGCCATAGGGGTTGAGCGGACGCAACTTGCTCACTATCTGATGTTTATCTACATATCCAAGTTCGCCCGCACCATAAGTGGCAGCGCTGCTTGCGTAAAAGAAAGGGATCTGATGCTTGGCGCAAATATTCCACAGCAATTGGGTGTAGTGCAGATTGAGGCAATCGAATAAATTGGTATCCAACTCGGTGGTGTCGGTGCGCGCGCCGAGGTGCAACACGGTCTCTAACTCTGCATGGTGGCGGTCAAGCCAGCCTACGAAATGGTTTCTGTGCACGCGCATGGTGTGCTGCAGGCGGCACCAGTTATGCAATTTGGCGCGTGGCTCAAAATCATCTACCAAAAGCAAATCGGTGTATCCGGCTTGATTGAGGTGCTTCACCATCTGTGCGCCGATGAATCCAGCTGCGCCTGTAACTACTATCATACCCATTGTTGTATCGTTTTTGCGATGTAAATACCGAGCAATACCGCCCCAAGACTGGTAGTGAGCGTCATGAAAAAATACCAGGCTGCGTGAGCGGTATTGCCGGCTTGTATCAGTTGGATGGTTTCGAGGGAAAAACTGCTCATGGTAGTAAATCCACCACAAAAACCGGTGATAAGTAGCCATCTCCAAGGCAATAATTGGTGGCTGCTATTGAGCGGTAGCCATTGTGCGAGCATGCCTACTAGGAGGCAACCTTCTACATTGGCGAGCAAGGTATGGTATGGTATATTACCCATAGCGGCATTGTTGGGAGGCAACCACACCCCAAGGAGATACCGCAGCACAGAACCTCCGCAACCGCCTATACCTACCAGAAAAATCGCCCATGCCGGTGTGCTACCCATTGATTATAACCATCTTACGAGATTAAAATCTTGTCGGTGCGCCAACATTGGGTGCGTCGGGAACAACCTGAAACCATACTCAAATACGCCGGCAAACTCCGGTTGTATATCGCAGGTGTAGGTAGCCAACATCCCGCTTTTCGATTGAAACTGGAGTGGTTTTATTTGCTGAAGCACCAATTCTGATTCAGATTTGCGCTTGAAAAATACCACTTCTAAGCCAATATCTTCCGGCAAAAGCTCATGCAAATTGATGGTAATCGAGGCTTTGAAAGGCTCACCCAAAGGCACAGACTGATTAGCGGTGTCTATCATATCCAAGTGAACGAGCTCAAGTGCGGGCCACGCACGCTTCACCCGCGATTTCCAGAGCAATAGCTCCTTCATTTTGCTATATTGACCTCCTTTGAGCAGGCTGCTGCGCTGGTAGATCGGTTGGTAATAACGGCTGAAATAATCATCCAACATCCGCTTCATCGTGAATATAGGCGCAATATCGGCGATGGTGTTCTTGATTTGCTTCACCCACTCCGGACTGATGCCTTTGTCGTTGTAATCGTAGTACATCGGCACTATTTCATTCTCCAACATATTGTAGATGGTCTCTGCATCCAGCTCATTTTGGAGATTGGTGTCGGTATAAGTATCCTCCATTGGCAATGCCCAGCCGGCACCCGGGCGGTATCCCTCTACCCACCAGCCATCCAGCACACTGAAATTCATGACGCCATTGAGTACCGCCTTCATACCGCTGGTACCGCTCGCCTCTTTAGGGCGCGTAGGGTTGTTAAGCCAAATATCCACGCCTTGCACAAGTACTTTCGCCATTTCCATGCTATAATTCTCTAGGAAAATAACCCTCCCTTTGAAACCTTCGTGGTGCGATATTTCATTGATACGCTTGATGAGGGCTTGACCGCCTTTGTCGGCAGGGTGCGCCTTACCTGCAAAAATAAATATAACCGGACGATTTTCGTTGTTAACTATATCTTGGAGGCGTTTGAGGTTGGAGAATAACAGTGACGCACGCTTATACGTAGCAAAACGACGCGCAAAACCAATCACCAAAGCGTCCTCTTTTACCGAATTGATCACCTCAAAGATATCCCGTGGATTGTCGCCGCGGCGCGTAAAATCGGTTTGGAGCGTATTCTTCACGAAATCGAGTAAGCGCTTTTTGAGGCTTCTTCTGATGCCAAGTATCGTAGTATCAGGCACTTGGTGTATTTTTCCCCATACGGCAGGGTTGGTTTCATCTTTTTCGAAATCTTTGCCGAAAGTCTTTTTATAGAGCTCCATCCATTCGGCAGCCACCCACGTTGGTAGATGCACGCTATTGGTCACATAGCCAATGTGCGACTCAGAATAGTGGAAATCCGGGTACAAATGGTTGAACATTTTCTGACTCACCTCGCCGTGGAGCTTACTCACGCCATTCACAGCAACAGAGGTGGTAATAGCCAACTGACTCATCGAAAAAGGCTCTGATTCGTTAGTCAAATCCTCTTTTCCAAGTTGCAACATATCTGCCCACGACACATCGAGGTCGTAGATCATATCGTAAATATAGGTTTTCAGCAAACTCTCCGGAAATACATCATGACCTGCAGGCACGGGCGTGTGGGTAGTGAACATCTGCGAGCATTTCACGGCTTCGATGGCTTCTTCAAAGGAGAATCCTTCTTCTTTTCTGAAGTTTTTGATGCGCTCCAAGCTCAAAAAAGCCGCATGACCTTCATTGAGATGGTATATATCGGGTTTAATTCCCATGGCGTGGAGCGCACGAGCGCCACCAACACCTAGTATCAACTCTTGGCGAAGGCGATTTTCGTTATCACCGCCATACAATTGGTGTGTGATAGAGCGATCCTCCCAACGATTATCCTCAAAATCGGTGTCCAACAAATACAAACTTATACGACCCACTTTGAGCTGCCAAACTTTTGCCCAAATAGAGCGACCCGCACAATTCACAAAAACTTTCACCCAATCGCCTTGTGCATCGCGCACAGGCGTGAGTGGCAATTGCGTAAATTTCGCAGCATCATAGTTGTGTATTTGGTCTCCGTGCAATGAAATATGCTGCTGAAAATACCCGTAGCGATACAATAAGCCGACAGCCACCAAATTGATATTGCGATCGCTCGCCTCCTTGAGGTAGTCACCCGCCAACACGCCAAGACCTCCAGAATACAAGCGTAAGCTCTGGTGCAAACCGTATTCCATGCAGAAATATCCTATGCCAGGCGTAGTGGAAGTCGGTTTTTCGTCCATGTAGGCGCGAAATTTGGCAACCACAGCCTTCATTTTCTTGATAAAATCGGCATCATTGACAAGTGCCGTAGCCCGTTCGGTGCCCATTTCATCGAGCAGCGCGATCGGATTGTAGTCCACCGCAATAAACTTTTTCTCATCAATACCCTTGAACAGCTCGATGGCATCATGATCCCAACACCACCAGATATTGTGCGCCAACTCGCTGAGCGGCTTCAGTGCATCCGGAAGCTTTGGTTCAATATATATACGTTTAAGCTTTAATGCGTTCTCTAAAAGATTACCTACCATTGATTTAAATATTGATATTTTATTACTTTGATGAATATGTAGAGGAGCTCAATCGCAATCATGCACCTACTTATTGTACCATTTACATTAAGGGTGCAAAGATACGGTGCATTTCCAAGCAAAACAATAAAAGGGGCGAACTTTTGGGCGCTCGCCTCCAAACTATCTCCTTTTAGGTCTCCGAAATGGCTCAAACTGGTCATCTTCTGCTTGGTAGCAGTGGGTGGCTTGGGGGTTTGGAGTCGCCGGGCTATCCATTGCAATAGCCCTTTTGTGCTTTTTTGTCTTCGCGCTTGGGCGACATGGGAAGCGATATTGCATCGCTACGGCTTTGTTTTTGTGGTAATTTTTACAAAAAAGCACAAAAGGGCTATTTCCATTGCTATCCCTAGCGCGGGATGTCATTGAATTAAGGTTTTTCGGAACGAAAAACCGCTGTGTTCTGTCATGCTGTAAGCATCTGAACCGCTTATTTCCGTAGGAAACGCAACAAATACTTCAGATGCTTTCAGCATGACACGCTCTTGGTTTTTGTTAATTCAATGACATTGCCCTAGCGCGGGATTCCCTCTGCATTCTTCAACCTCGGAGAGGTTGCATATTGTTAACAAGTTTTTACGACCTCGCTAGAGGTCGAATATTGGACTTTCGAGCGTGAGGGATAGTAGCGGATGCCGATAAAAAACGCCTTGAATGAATATAAAAGCTACACCGAAATGCCAAGAGGCGTTTTTTTATCGGCAGCAGCGGATAGCCCGACCTCGAAACCGCCTTTCCGAAACCTCTAAGCTACCCCACTTGCCCTGAGGCGGTTTTCGAGGGCACGCCCAAATGAGAATAAAGCACCACAAAAACTTCTAAAGATGAACCAAATCAAATAATAATAGTTATATAATTCCAACACACAAAAGTGTCATAAAAACATGGAAATCAAAGATTTTTTCTCCAAATTGCCCAATAAGGTCAACCCGGATGTACTGGAAGGCTTGACGTCGCTGTTTCATTTCGATTTTGCGGAAGCGGGACAATATACGGTAGAGGTAAAAGACGGCAAACTCGACTACCGCGAAGGACTCGACGGCGAACCTAAATGTAAGGTGAATACGAGTGCCGAAAATTTTCAAAAATTGGTAAAAGGCGACCTCAATCCGATGATGGCCATGATGACTGGCAAGCTCAAAATCAGCAATCCTGGCGAAATGATGAAATTCGCTAAGATTTTTGGCTTGATGTAGGCGCTTCAATCCTATATTCCTAACGGCGCGTGCCTATTTCTATTACTTCGAGTCCGAGTATTTTACCGGCTTCGAGTTTGAGGCGCATCAAGGTCTTTACGGCGTGCCAACCTTCATTGCCACATGCGCCGGGATTGAGGTGTAAGAAGTTATATTTTTTATCGGGCATGGCTTTGAGTATATGCGAATGCCCGCAAATGAAAATCCCCTTTGTAGGCGCATCGGTTTCTAGCAAAAGTCTGGCTTTGGGCGTGTATTTGCCCGGGTAACCTGCTATATGGGTCATCAAAATGGGTACGCCATCGCACTCAAAATGGAGGACTTCCGGGTATTCTCTCCGAATCGTGGCGTTATCGATATTGCCATACACGCCTCGCAAGGGCTTGAGCGCCTTGAGTTGGTCTATCACATCCAAGCTGCCGAAGTCTCCGGCATGCCATATTTCATCTACTTCTGCAAAATGGTGCAACACCTTCGGGTCAAGGAAGCTGTGCGTGTCGGAAAGCAATCCAATAGTGGTCATCGTTCTATAAAGTTTTGGTAGTGTGTCTGTAAAAATGCCTTTGCGCGGTTTTGCTCCGCCGCGGTGGGTTGACCTTGCATGATTTGCCACTTTTTTTGCACAAAATCATAGAAGGTAATGCCCTGGGTGGTTGCCCACCCCATGCCATTTTCATTGCAATAATACCCAAAATGATGCAAAGAATCTTCCTTCGTGCTTGGTCGGGTGAACAGATTGCGGCTATACGGAAAGTCTTGTGGTGCGTGAGGTGCTCCAATAAGAGACAAAAAGGTCGCCGGCAAATCATGATGCCCGCCAAAGGTTGAAATTTCGATGCCATTTACTGCTCTTTTGATGGGATTGCCATACAAAATCAATGGCACATGCCTCGACCGAGGGTCATCGATGGAAATCTGACCGGGTAAACCATGACCATGATCCGCCACAAATACAAAAATGGTGTTCTCGTACCAAGGCTGTTTCGCTGCCTTTTGGAGAAATTCCCCGATGGCTTGATCTGTAAAAGCAGCAGCATTGCGAAACTTGTCGGGGATGGAGCCGCTGTTGTACGGGCTTACTTGAGGCAAATCGAATGGCGTATGCAGACTAAGCGTGAGAGCTGCCACAAAAAAGGGAGACCGGTAGGTATTGCATGCTTCGAGGAGGTCGGAGAGAAATAGTTTGTCATCTACGCCCCATTTTTGAGTACGCGTTGAGGACGGATAGTCGCTGATGGACTTGATTTTGTCGAAGCCTAGGTGATAGATATACTGCCCCATGTTGGCAAAAGTAAGTTCGCCACCATAGTAAAACCCGGTCTGGTAGCCGCGAGCCTCCATCGTTTTGGGGAGAGAAGGGAGGGTACGCATCTTATCTTCGAGCAGGATAATGGATTGATCGGGCAGTGCCGGATAACCACTAAAGATACTTACAAGTCCTTGGTCGGTGCGAAAGCCGCTGCCGTACACATTGGTAAAGGAAATGCCGGATTGGGCAATATTTTCCATATTTGGGCAGATACCTTGCTCTCCCCCTAAAGAAGCAAACAATTGTGCGGTCATGCTCTCCATGATAATCAGCACGATATTGGGATCCTGTGTTGTGGAGGTATCCGGCGTCGATTTTAAGCTAAAATATAGACTATCTTCCTTTGCCTGCGCAAGAAAAAGTGGCTTCACTAGGGCTTGGGCAGAATCGGAGGACATGAACAGATAGTTATTTTCAGTAGGCGCGGTTTCTATCATGCTATGCATAAAATGCCAACCTGTGTTGGTGGCGGCATGATTTTCTATGAGGTGGGTAGAATAATACACTTTACTTTCACTGATGGGCATATTGCCCAAGCCGCCTCTTATGCCTAGTGCCAACAAGGGAATGGCGAGCAAAAAAAGCGCAAAATCGCGCACTTTATGTGCGCTCGGACTAGGGAAGACAGGCATCACCCACCGCCTAAATACCTGAAGCGTGGCCCAACTTACCAGGAAGAATAATGCTATGCAAAGGAGAATAAAATACCAAGCCATAGAATCTAATAGACCGGCCGGGGTTTTCATGTATTGTATGGCACGGTGATTGAGCATAGTATTCCATTCTTCATAAAGGAATATATTTGCTCCAAAAATCAAGATAATTGCGGGAATAAGTACCCAATACAAATAATATATCGTTTTGCGAAGTACCAATATGCCACGCTCCGACATAAAAATGCTGATGCCGGTGATAAGAAACGGGATAGCAATTAGGTAGGAAGCAAAAGAAATATCAAGTGGTATGGCGCGAAATAAAGATAAAAAAATACGATAGGGCTGTTCTGTGCTCCAAGATTTTGCTGATTGGAATATAAACCAAAGCCTGAAGGCTGCGAAAAACCCAAACCAGAAAATCAATAATCGAAATAAAAAATTATATGAACTTAACAAAATTGTCTTTTTTTTGGCAAAGTTACGAAAATCTTTGCTAATCTTTTTTTTTCAAAGGACTTATTGTTGACTGCACTAACTCTTGGGAAAATGACTTATCTTTGCACTCGATTCAAACAAAAACTAACATATATATATTTGTATATTTGTCGAACCCCAATATTGCCTACATCCTAAACTTTTTGATACATTAATTATGATTAATCTAGTACTTTTTGGTCCTCCAGGCTCAGGAAAAGGAACACAAGCCGCCAAATTGATAAAAAAATACAATCTGGTGCATATCAGTACCGGAGATTTATTTCGCTATGAGCTAGGCAACGACACTCCGCTAGGGCTAGAAGCAAAAAAATATATGTCGCAAGGGCAATTGGTGCCCGATGCCATTACTATCGGGATGCTTCGCAATAAGGTGAGTATGCACCCTAAGGCTAAGGGCTTTATTTTCGATGGTTTCCCTCGCACCATTACACAAGCAGAGGCTTTGGATGTACTATTAACCGAACTTAAAACCGAGGTGACTGCACTCATTGCGCTCCAAGTGGGTGAGGAGGAAATCGTACAACGTATCAAGCTTCGGGGTGAATCTTCGGGCAGAGCCGATGACAATGATGACCAAATCATACGCAAGCGCATACGTGTATATGAGAGCGAAACCGCTCCTGTATATGACTATTACAATGCCCAAAAGAAGAGCTATTCTATAGATGGAATGGGTTCACTTTTGGCTATCTTCCGCAGATTGTGCAAGGTGATGAACCAATTTGTATCGGTAAATGCCTAAGCATTTGGTAATTGCTTTACTTCTTAGTGGTAATATTCATTGTACTCCTCTACCCTTCTGGCCATGCGCTGTTGGTTGATTGGCCAGGCAGATTTATCCAATTTAGATTCGTAGGCTTCATAATTGCCGGTGAGTATTTGCGGAAAAAAGTCCAGCTGTGTTATTTCCTCCACTTTATCAATGGAGCAAGCGAAATCCATCACAGGAAGATTACTGTTTTCATTGGGCATAATGAAAGCAATGGCTCTGTCTTCCGCTAAAAGTACTCGATAGTATCGCTTTGGTACAGTTACTTTTGATGGACCAATATACGGCAGTGGCTTATCAGTAAGCACGGGGCCGGTCACTATGTACAGTTTTTGGTACTTTCGCGCCCAATCTCGGGTGAGTTCCTCTAGTTCCCGCCAGATACCGATGTTGAATTTTGGGTCTTGTGGCGACATATTGCTCATATAAAAGCTTTCATCTATTCCTATTTCATCAAATGCCATATCGCCTGCAGGGCAAAGGTGTCCGCGGTCGTAGCCCGAACCTACATAATCTTGGGTGGTGGCGCTGCCTGTGCGCACAGTCGGATCTGGTCGAAAGCTATTGGGGCGAGGTGCCCAATTGGCGTTGAGGCGGTCGCGGGTGAGGTAATACAATACCCATTCAGCTTGTTCGTGGTCTTCGTTGTAGGCAAGCGCAAAATGCTTGTGCTTGACGATTTCTCCCTTGCGGATAGTCGGAAAATATCGGTCTAGCTCGTAGGCTTTGGTCTGGTCGGTAGCCGGGATTGGCGCCGATTCTTCCTTTGGAGCGGGCTGCTCGCGCGGATTGTCTGCGGTGGTAGGGCTAGTGCTTCCTCCGCTAAATTGCTGAAACAAAAAGTAAAGTACGCCGGCTATTGCCGTAAATATGCCGGTTTTGAAGAGCAATCCTGATGATTCGTTTGCCATGGTTGTTGATTTATTTTGCGCAAAGGTAAAACAAAATGTTTGAATTTGTGCCGCGAATGCTCGAATTTTTTTATTGGGGTTCGCTTCGCTCATTTTTTTGCCACGAATAGCACGAATTTTAGCGAATCTGGGGTTCGCTTCGTGTTGACGGGGATAATGATTTTTATGTTTTTTATGATGTGGTTATGATTTTTTTTATGATGCTGCGTGTGGCACTTGGCGTGTGGTTTCCCGCAGATTTTGCAGATTTAGCTGCACGCAGATAACCGCAGAACTCTTTTAACTCCTTCAACTCTTTGTGATTTTTTTGCCACGAATAGCACGAATTTTCACAAATCTGGGGTTCGCTTCGCTCATTTTTTTTGCCACAAATTACACGAATTTTCACAAATCTGGGGTTCGCTTCGCTCATTGGGGTTCGCTTCGCTCAGCTTTTTTGCCACGAATTTTCACTCATTTATTCATCGCTCAATGTCTTTGACTTTAGCCATATATTGTAATGTTGTGAACCGCGCTGGTTTTCGTATCTCTTAGGGGCAATGTCATTGATTTAAGCCTTCCCAATTGCGTATGATGGGATAATGATTTTTATGATGCCTATGATTAGTATGATTTTTTCTCATTGCATGTAGGTATGATTCTTTTTTCGCTGCGCTCAAAAATATGATTTTCTGGGTATTTCCTTCGTTTAATGAGTCAAATGTCTCTTCAAATGAAGAAAACCGTAAGGTAAAAGCTACGCCGTCAGCAAAAAAATTCTGCTTTCTGAATTCATGTATTCAAAATTTCTTAAGTCAATGACATTGCTCTTAGGGGTTATAAGTCTTATACCATTGCAATACCACAAAAACTACGAAAAGAATGAACAATCGTAAATCAAAAATCGTAACAATCGTAAATCCTGCGCGTAAGGGATAGTAGTGGAAATAGCCCTTTTTGTGCCTTTTTTGCAAGATGCCCACAAAAACTAAGCCGTTGCAGTGCAATGTCTCCAACCACTTCGCCCAAGCGCGAAGACAAAAAAGGCGCAAAAAGGGATATTGCAACGGATAGCCCGACCCCAACAGCCCTGCTAAAAACACTCAGCTACCCCCAAACCCAAAAGGGCTGTTGGGGATACGCCCAAATGAGATATGGAATGAGGTGCAGGGAATTGAATGTAGGAATTTTTGAATACAAAATATGGCTGACACCCCAAAACGAACATTCGGTCATAATGCCTCGTTCTGGTTAGTAACGCTTTGTACGCTCCCAAGTATTGGACTTGATGCCGCGCAAATACTTGAAAAAACCATCCATAAGCGCTACATTCATCGCCAAAAAATAGTGAATATGTCGAAGTAATGGCAACTCAAATCCCAATTTTTGGGTGATGCTGTGCACGATTGGCACTCCAATAACTAGGCATAAAAACAACTGTAGGATGCCCATAAAGAAGAAACTGCCCATAAATGCCAATGCTGCTGCACTTATGCCCGCCGCCAACAGTAAAAACCCGCCAAGCCAACGCAACACTTTGTGCGAAAAAAAGGCAAAACCAAGCTTTGTCACCGGCGGAAGCACCCATTGCTTGAAGTACGCCAAATTCTGAAAACTGCCGGCTGCAATGCGCTTTTTGCGGCGATATTCGTCCTTTACAGCGTGTGTGGCACCTTCGTAACACACCGCAGATAGGTCGTTGATGGCAGCATACCCTTGCTCCAAGGCGCGGAAAGTGATCAAAAAATCGTCCACCAAAAAATTGGGAGGGATCGGCTCAAAAAGGTTAGCGCGGATGGCATAACAGCCACCAAACGGACCAATCATAGTGCCCCAAGCGCGGCTTTCGTAGTGCTTGAGCATGACTTCGCGACCAATATAGGTGTCTTCGCTTTTGCTGATACCCTGCGCGCGCAGACCAATTGGCTTGATGTGCGCATCTACCACCCCAATTTTGGGCTGCTTGAAATGCCGCACCAACATATATAACGTATCGGGCTCCAACAATACACTGGCATCGGTAAGCAATAAAATGTGCTCGGAGGTGTTGCCGTTTTCGTGTAAAGCCCTGACTACCAGGTCATTAATAACCGGAGGTTTGCCTCTCCGCTCTTTGAATGGACTAAATTGGAATTGCGAAAAATGCTCCGCAGCAGCCAAAACCAATTGATTGGTACCATCCGATGAACCATCCGAACCTATATAAAAATGCAATTTGTGGGTAGGATAATCCAAATCTGCCAGCGATTTTAGCTTATCAGCAATGACTTTTTCTTCATTATATACCGACATGATAACACTCACCACCGGCAGTTCACTATCATTATGGGCAAAAAAATCCGCCCGAGCCGAAGAAAACTCCGCCAATACTCGCATCATAGCTGGATATATCACATAAGTATGCAGCAAGGCAAGGCATGATACCCAAAAAACAAGCAGAAAAAAAAGTGTCAAAGGAGTGGAAAATTAGAATACTTGAATTAAATCGATGTCGAAAATGAGCACTGCATTGGGTGGAATATCGGAGCCTGCCCCATTTGCACCATAACCCAAATGCGAAGGAATAAGCAAAACGCCTTTACCGCCTTCCTTGAATTTTTGAATGCCTTCCGTCCAGCCCGGTATCACCTGATAAAGCCCAAAAGTAGCTCCATCGGTGCTTTCATCAAACACATTTCCGTTGGTGAGATAGCCCTTATAACGCACTTTCACCACGCTGTTGGCGGTCGGATAATTGCCCGAGCCTTGCGAAGTCACTCGATATCGAAGCCCCGAATCGGTACTATCTGCCGTCCAGCCTTTAGCAGCAAGGTAATTATTGATGATTTCTACGTCTGCCTTCAACTGATTGTCAAAAGCGGTCGTGTCATTTTTTTTGCAATTGCTCAACAAGAAAAGTCCGCTTATAAGCAAAGTTAGAAAAGTTAATCGCATTGTCATAGTTAATTTTTTGCTGCAAATGTAGGACTCTTTGGGCTAGTATTTGCTAATTGAGGTAGTTTTTTTCTCTTTTTATGTGGATGCTGGGTATGGGTGGGCGGCGGCAGGGATAATGATTTTTATGTTTTTGGGCATGCCCCTCATGCTCAATGGACTTAAGAAATTTTGAATACATGAATGCAGAATACATGAATTCAGAATTCAGAAATTTCGAGTACATGAGTGAAGAGTACATGAGTACATGAGTGTTGAAGTTTTTGCTGACGGAGTAGCTTTTACTTTACGGCTTTCTACATTTAAAGAGACATTTTACTCAATTAACGAAGAAAATACCCACAAAATCATACTTTTTGAGCGGAGCGAAAAAAGAATCAGTACCACTTGCCATCATACACCCGCACCGCCGGACCAGCCAACCAAATATCTTCAAATCCGCCCAATGCTGTCGGAGTAAAATGTACAGACAAACTACCACCCAAAGCAATCATATCCCTACTAATCTGCTGATTATCAGCGGTTTTCGAATTGCTATCATGCAGCATCCAATCTGCAATGGCGCAAGCCGTAACGCCGGTGCCACAAGCCAGCGTCTCATCTTCCACACCGCGCTCGTACGTGCGCACGTGAAGACGATCGCCTTTGCGCTCCACAAAATTGACATTGATACCCTCCGCTTTAAAGCGGTCGCTGTAACGTATTTTTTGACCTTCGGTCTTCACATCCAACTTGTCGAGATCCGTTACAAACTGCACATAATGAGGCGACCCAGTGTTGAGCACACCTATATTATTATTCACTTCTACTACCGGCACATCTGACATACCGAGCACCACCAAAAAATTGTTTGTAGTCACCTCAGCCACTTCTGCCGCATGCTCACCGTCTATAGCCCAGAAACGAAATTTTGCCTTTCTTAGTCCCATCAAGTTCGCCGCAAAAGCCGCAATACAACGTCCGCCATTGCCGCACATGGTACTTTCACGACCATCGGAATTGAAGTAAATCATTTCGAAATCGTAGCCTTTTTTCTTTTGTAGCAGGATAAGTCCATCTGCCCCGATACCAAAACGTCGGTCGCACATACGCGCTATGAGGTCGTGGTTTTCCCGCTTAATCGTAATAAATTGCTTGCGCCGTTGGTCGATCATCACAAAATCGTTGCCTGCGCCTTGGTATTTCGCAAATTTTATGTGAATATTATTGAAATCCATAATGATAATTTTTGGTGCAAAGGTAGGGAATAATTAAACACATAGAAACATAGAGCGCAATTAAACACATAGTAACATAGGACACAATTAAACACATAGTAACATAGGACACATAGAAATTGTGGCAAAAAATCTGCGCATATCTGTGTGCAGCTAAATCTGCGTATTTCTGCGGGAAATCGCACGCAAAGTGCCACACGCAGTATCATAAAATAATCATACACAAATCATAAAAAACATAAAAATCATTATCCCTGCCAACACGAAGCGAACCCCAGATTTGTGAAAATTTGTGCAATTTGTAGCAAAAAAAAAATGAGCAAATAAAAACAAAAAGTGGTGCAAATATAAAACTAATTGTGTTATCTTTGCGTTCAAATAGATACCCTTAAAAACAAGCGATTCTAACCACCAATCAATCGTAAATCGTAAATCAATTAATCGTAAATCGTATGAATCTCTGTCCCTCATGCTCAGTGGCGGTGCAGCCGGGAGCCCGTTTTTGTCACCACTGCGGAGACAACCTCCAGGAGAAGTTCAAAGTATGCCCGGTATGTTATCAAAAAAACCCACAGGTAACCATATTTTGTCATCAATGCAATCACAACTTTTCGAAAGTGGCGAAAGAAGAAGTGAAGACATTTGTGCCGGAATATGCACTCACCTTTTTACCCGACACCCTGAACGATGAAATAAAAGCACACTTTTTCAAGACATTGAAAAAGCGTGTAGAAGAACAATTTAAAGTGACACGATACAGTGAGTACGTAGAGCGTTTTTACAGCTCCGATTTTCACGCCATATATACAGTACGCGCCAATCAGATAGCCGAAGAGGTACTTATACACCACGAGCGCTTCAAAAAGAATGGACTACAAGATATCGACAAAAAGATAGAAACAGCCTTTGATGGGCTATTGGACTATTTTTTCATCCGTTTTTGCCAAGATCTGAATGGTTTTCACCTACCGGAAACGATATTAAAGTATGAGCGCTACCAACCTGCGAAAACCGATATGTGGGCAATCATAAGTGATTTCCTTGATTTTGAGTATGAAACGGAGGTTTTGCACTTCGACTTTATCCGTATGCCCAAAGAACTGCTCAATAATGCTTGCAAAAATTTCTTGAAAGCAGGCACACGCGAAAAGTTGTACTTTATTTGCGACTTTTCATTGAATGGCTCTTGCAAAGAGGGATTGGCTATGACAAATGAAGGCTTATACTGGAAAATGCCATTCGACAAGCCCAAAAAAGTAACCTACGCAGAAATAACCTCGCTTACAAGAAAAAAAGAATGGTTGATGATAAATGGGAACTATTTGACCGTGAATCCTTGTTTTGATATCAAGTTGCTCAAATTATTGAAGAAATTGACGAATAATCAGACTCCTGAAATAAATGTTCGTTAAAAAGTTTTGAGATATTGGTGCAATGATATTATCTTTGCGCCGTTAGAAATCAAAACCTGTTTTTGAGTGCTACATGGACATTATAGCTCAGTTGGTTAGAGCATCGGTTTGTGGTACCGAGGGTCGTGGGTTCGAGCCCCATTAGTGTCCCCTAATTCATAAATGCCGCTTTCAGTGATGAAAGTGGCATTTTTTGTTATATCTAAGTGCTTGATATTGTGGGAGTTACGTGTCAAAATTGGGTGTATGAAAAGAGTTCGATAACTCTCGCGAGATAGTATGAGACCTTGTTCGAACACCACGTTTAAGAATTGTTGGCGGTCAGGAATCTTAGTAATTACCGTTGAATAAATATTTTCAAAATTTGAAAGCAAGTGAATATTTTGTTGCACATCATCATAGATTTTGTTCAGATTTGAATTTAGGAGCTTCGAGTTCTGATTTAAACTAGCCAATTCTGAACGGTAAATTGCATTCCATTTCTCGAACATTTCCTTAGAAGCCTGCCCATCAATATATTTTTGTTCCAAAGCATCAAGTCTTTTTTGAGTCTCTGCTCGTTTCTTTTTAGTTTGCTCATGCTTTACCTTAGCTACATTCACCTCCTCATCTATTAGTTGTTTTGAAGTTTCAAGTATAGAACTAATATATGGCGCAGGGAAACTTAACCCACGAAGCACCTCAGAAAGCATAGTGTGTGCTTTTTCAGCTGGTATATTTTGATTTTTACACACACTACAATTATAATACAAATAGTAACGTCCTGTTTTTGACCGAGACTGACCACCGGTGAGCAATCGTTCACATTCAGAGCAACGTACCACACCCCTTAATTCCAAATCATCCCGATACTTGATAGGTGCATGTCTAGTAGTAGTAAAACGCCCCTGCACCTCATAGAACTTATCCACCGAAATGATAGGATCATGAAGCCCTTTCACAATATGCTGTTCTACCCCCTTGAAAGCTCCTACTACTACCTGACCGCAATACACCGGATTAGTTAGTATTCGTTGGATAGCACATTTTCCGCTTAGAGGCAAACCGGCAGTCCTAGCTCTCAACCCAATTTCTTTAAAAGGAAGTCCATTCAAGTAATCATCAAATATTTTCGCTACCACCTTCGATAAAGGCGAAATCACAAGGATTGGTTTATTCTGCTGATCACGAGAATTAGTGTATCCTACTGGAGCCTTTGCCAACCATCTACCTGTCTTACTTGCTTGCCACTGACCCGCCCTGGTGCGATCCCCTATCACAAGCCGCTCAAACTCAGCACTCACAAACATATCCGCCACAAACTTAAATGAATAAGGGTCATCCCGATTTACAAACATGTTTTCAGCAACGCTGACAATATTCACACCGTGTTTGGAGTGATATTCCTTCAAAAGCGTCAAGCCCTCAGCCGCATTTCGAATAAGGCGGTCAAACTTGGCAACAATTATCGTTTTTACCCCCTTGTCTTTTTTTATCGCTCCCTCCAGCTTGCGCCACTCCGGGCGATCAAATGATTTGGCGGAAACGCCATTGTCTTCATACCAACCAACGACCTCGTAACCATTCACAAGCGCAAAACGCTCAATTTGATCTCGTTGTCCCTGGAGGGAAAAATTGGACTGTTCCTCCATTGAAATTCTTGTGTAACCAAATGCCTGTTTCATTTTTTTAAGATTTAAATAGTTGAGAAATGTTTCTATTTGTAAGTGAACTCATTTAACTTTCTTGATTGAGGATAAAAAACAGAATTTTTTGCCTGTTTAAGGCTTTTTTTCTTCAGCATAGTGGAGCTATGTTGAAGAAAAAAAATGAAAAACAGGTGAAAAAGGCGTTTTTTAGACCAATTGAAGAAAGTTTAAATGAGTTCAGTATTACGGGTATTGCAGTAGGAGTACTTTTACATGGTCGTGGAGTAATTCAACTTACATTACCGAGCCGTAATGATATTACAAAGGTAAGAAATTACCATCTAATTACCAAACATTTTGTTGGGTATTTATACAAAATATTAAGGTTTTTGTGGCACCAAATAAACATATTGGTTTGAATATTTCAAGTGCCGAAAAATACTCTCTACAATAAAAAGAGGAACCTGGTCGAATCCATGTTCCTCTTTTTCGTAGGTTTCAACACCTCATTCTCAACTTGTGCTTAATGCATTCTGGTTAGCACTTACATGACCAGGGCAGAAAACATTAAAAAGTACCTGTTTATCTATTTTTGATAAGATTAATAATCAGCTGCACCATCAACTCCTTTTCATCCGGGTTGCTTTGAGCTACCAATAAAGCCAATGCCACAAGAGCGTTATCATTGATTTTCAGCTCGCCATTGGATTTGAAACGATGTTTGTTTTTTTCTAAAAACCACACAAAGATAAAAGCACCTATACGTTTGTTGCCATCGCTGAAAGGATGATTTTTGATGATAAAGTACAATAAATTAGCAGCTTGCTCCTCAATGCTTGGGTATAGATACTGCCCTCCAAAGCTTTGTACCACATTTCCCAAAATACCCTTGAAACTATCATCTTTCTGATTTCCAAATAATTCAGTAGCTTCCTTAGCGGCTATCAATTGCCTTTTTAGTTCTTCAACTGCAGAATAGGCTTCTACATACTCTATTTCATAAGTGATGTTTTCATTCAGATTCTGCGTTTCCAGGCTATGGCTGTCATATTGATTAAGCAAAATAAAACTTTGGGTATAACCAGTGATGATATCCAGCATCCCCTTAGCCTCTTGAAGTTGTATTTCATCCAATTTACCGCTTTGACTTATCAGCTGTACGACTTGTTGCAATTCGTCGAGCCGCCTTTGATTAATGGCATAACCCTGCACCAAAAAATCCTTGAGCCTTTGAGTCGCCCACTGACGGAATTGTGTGCCGCGCTTGGAATTGACGCGATAGCCAACGGAGATGATTACATCTAAGTTATACAATTTCAAGGTTCGTTTTACTTCCCTTTTGCCTTCCATTTGAACTACCGAGAAAAACTCGGTAGTTGCTTTTTCTACAAGCTCTTCCTCTGCAAAAATATTCTTAAGGTGTAAGCCTATTGTGTCACTATCTTTATCAAAAAGTTCTGACATTTGTTTTTGTGATAGCCACACCGTCTGATTATCAAAACGAACTTGTAGTTCGATTAGGTTTTCGGAGTTTTGATAAATAACAATTTCGTTTTTCATAGTATGTCAG